TTTTTCAAAATTATTGAGAGACTTGTAAATTTATGGGTAGCAGTAATCCACTTGCTTATCCACAATTTAGTTTCGGCAAGTAAACATCCTTATAAATATTGTTCTGTAACAATATACACTGACTGATGCAAAATTGAAACTTGAACAAAATTCACACGTATTAAAAAGCATGCCAACCCTGGTCGATGTGCACACTTTACAAGATAACTTGCTTGAATATATATTGATCAATATACAAACTTAGACGATAAGTTCAAAGTTGAGTGAAATCCATGCCTAATTAATTAGCATACTGTACTCTGATTGGTCAATGGTTTTATGCCAAGTAACTTTGTTAGATAAGGCAAGGGTTGATATCTTATTCAACAACAAAGGCAAAGTTCAAAGATGTTCACAATCTGTGCATAATCTATTCAATGGTTTAAAATAATCAGGTATTGGTCAAAGGGGTAAATGCCAGTTTCAGTTTTTAATGTTCTATGAAATACATTGTATGGACAAAGGGAAGCAATTCCAAATTCCTATGCAAATTAATTATCCAAAGGTTTAAAATGATATATTCTAGAGGAAACTTGGTACCACTCTTCTGACAAACCTATAAAGATATACTGTACACACAAGAAGAATAACTTCACAGTGGTACACTTTTACATAAAACTTTGATTCATAACAAATTAACAGTAAATCCTTCTGTACAATATGATGGGAACTTCGTCTTTATTTTGTTCTCCATTCCAAAAATAATATATATATCTTTTGCCTTAGCTTTCAGTACTTTCAGTACTTTGATTTAAAAATATATTTCTTATGATTTTTTGTCATTGATGTAAAACGATATTATAAACCAAGAAGAAACTACGTAAAATGTGTATTTTGTTGTTTGCTTTCTTTTGATTATCTGATTACACATAACACACACATGTGCGCATATCAGCATGTTCATCAATTAAATTTAGCTTCATTTTACATAAAATGTTTACTTGCTTTCAAAAACATACCAATTAATTAGTGTTAATGTGTGTAACAGCTGGTGCATATCTCCTGGTGAAAGACATAATTAGATACCTTTTTTTAAATTACCATAATTACGATAAGTGAGAAGGGCTCATCATGGCGGCTTGGGTATCGTCACTTCAAACCAGGTCATGTCACAGTTCAGCGATATTTTTTGGCCACACAGTTTTTACCTACTGTAAAGTTATTAAAATCGGTCATCTGTGGTCATGACTGCTGGGCATAACTTCAACAACATTGTCTGGTCCCGGACAATAGGCCAGGTAGGATCGCATTCTTCAGCGTAAATTAGTGAAACTTCTCAACACTACAGTCAATACAAATTACAATGCAGTAATTAGCTAACACTATATCTGTGATTACCCGTTAACAATAGCTCTACAAATTGAAATGATTTGCAGTCGCGATCAACGGACCGTGTTTTTTTTTTTTTCATGCACCAACATGTGGTGTGAATTACGAAGCCCTACTGCATTGTCATAACTACAGACTGATTTGACCGATAAGGGATTATAAAAAAATATGTTTATACTAGAAGCGTGGATAATCAATACATCCTATTCAAATCTACTCCAAGGGGAAAAACATCCTTTTTAAATCTACTCCAAGGGGAAAAAATCAAAGCAGACTATTTTTACGATGTTTCATTTAACAAATATTGAAATAATTCACGTGGTTATTATCAATCACGTGTTTACGTAGTGTTAGACTCAAGATCAACATGAAAGTGAGCCGGGGAAAAAAACCATGCTGTACGCACAGGAGATTTGAAAAAAAGATAACAGAACTTACATGGAACGGAGCTTAAATTGAACAACTTCATTTTCGTAATAGTATGGGGAAAACGCACCGAGATGTCGAAATGAAAGTTGATCGGCGATTCTCTGGCATAGACAGGAATTTGGCTAAACTTTCTTTGCTAACAGTTACCTATTTAATAATACTTTTCACATAAACTCAGGCAACAACACAGTATATATCAATTGTATCTTTTATTGATGTTTGACATAAAGAAATATTTTGATCGTCGTTTGTCTTTGAGTTCCATGTACCAAGGGAGATTATCTCGTGTCCAAGATGGCGGTCTGCCAGAATCGTCGATCTTTTCATGAAAAAAACTTGAAATTGCTTATACCTGTGTATTTTACGCACCCCCCACTTTGGGTATTAAAAAAAAGTGTGCAAATTACATGGGTTTTTACGGTAGTTCCACATCACATCTAAACAATAAAATAAAGATACCAGTACCTATAATATAACTCAGGTGACCGCTAATTAAAAGGCCCTTGGGCCTCTTGTTTAAGTTAAACCCCCTCTCTCAAAGCCTCTGGTGGCTTTAAAGCATGTTTAAACATACATACACATGTAGGACTCTTGAATAACCCATTCACCACAAAGTCATCCTAGAACCTTACCAAGTCAAAGACTGGGCCTGTACAGTTTAAACACTGTAGGCAGGCATGAGTTCATTTACATACTACCTTCTGTACACATTCAGACTTCATCGTATCACTATCTTCTTAAAGTTAACTTTGATCTCAAAATGAAAAAGGATTTTTTATGAAATTCATTCCAATACAGTTAAGGTATCATATAATGCTTGACACTGTTACTGTTATGTATGTGTTTGTCTCCATATGTTAAATAGGTGAATAGGTGAAGCTTGTGAGTGAATACCAAGGCTTTTCTCTCCACACAAGTGTGAACAATTACTTCACAGTGTAAACAGATAGTGTGTATTCAGAAATAAATGTGTGGAAGCCTTATAAACCAAGTTTATTCCCTCCTCCCCAACCTTTGGTGGCCTACTGAAAGTAGGGATTCACCTGCAATGTAGAAATGACATTTTGTCTAGATTTAGATATCGGTAAAACAGTTTATCACAACTTACAGAGGATAAAAAATCCAGGGAAGGCAAGAAGTTAGATTATCTCACAAGTGCTTAACCTGATTTTTTGATATTCATGAAATGAATTTTCATCAGCACGAATGAATTAACATTTAGATTATGGTAAGCATGCTTCTTTGCTAACCTGGAACAAACAGTCTGTGTGCATAGATGGTACCGGTGTGGCATCCATTTTCCATCATCATCTTTTTATGAAACAATTAATTCATTAATATCCATGAGATGTATGTACTTTTGTTGGCATGTAGTTTCCTGGGGACCAAAGGACTACCAGGTTTGTTCAAATGAATGAGTTTGACCTATTTGCAAGGTCATAAGGGAAAAAAAAGGTTTAACAATTTCTTTCCAGACCTATAATGCCTAGTGTATTGGTATTTGGCCTGTAGCTTGCTACGGTATAGGCATACCAATTGTGTTCAAATACATTAACCATCATATGACATTAACACTATTTAACCCTGCCATATTCAGATGGCATTCATATCAGCTATGCAATACATGCATGCTACTATAATTAGGGCCCTGTATCGGAGATACGGGTGCCCTATAGTAATCACTGTCTGTCTGTCTGTTCGTCCGTCCACAAATTTTGTTCCTCGCTGATAACTTTGGTATTTATAGACCAATTTACATGAAACTTGGTTCACAAAAATACACACTGAGGTAAAAAGTAAAGGTCAAAAATTTTGTAGCTTTTCACTAATGAGCATTTCTTGACACTATGAAGCAAAGTTGGTCGGAATTAAAGAGAGACACACCGAGGTAAAAAGTCGAGGTCAAAGTTCAAGGTCATTAGGTTCAAAGGTCAAGGTCAAATTTTGCATTTTTTCACTGATAATTATTTTGTAATGACATGATGAAGCAAAGTTGATCAGAATTAAACAAGGAGTCAACTGACGAAGGTTCAAGGTCATCGGGTCAGAGGTCAAGGTCACTAAGTCAAAGGTGTAAAGTCTCGCATTCGATCCCTATAAGTTTTGTTCATTTTTGGTTCAACAACAATGATATTTTTGAAAATGCATTGCGAAGTGAAAATATATATTGGGAAGAGTTTTGTTTAAAAGGACATTTTACATGATAGCATGCTTACTTTTACATGTAATTTTCAATGAAACACTGAAAGTTTTCATCTTGTTTTCAACTTACAGATCTGATTAATTGTTTAATTACGAATAAAAAGATAACTATATTATGAATTTTGATTGTTGAAATGTTTTAAATGGGATACTAATGTTCTTTGGAAATAATATCTTTAGATGGAAATGATCCCCCACTCCCTCCCGCCACCCAGTCAACCCATTCCTAACTCAAAACTCATGCTGATGCATTCATTTCATTTAGTCTTTGAGCACATTATCTAAATATGTTAATATATTGTTAAACTTTACTTCTGATGAAAATGTTAGAAACAACAAAATAAAAAATAAGCGCCCTGCTTTTACGTGATTCGAACCCAGTCCAGAAGAAAGTGATTTATTTTTCATGAAAAGTATGTGCCAGAGTGTCAAGTGGTCATGCTAAAAAGACCCATCTCCAACGCATACACGTGTTGAAGAGAAGGTACATGCGGTGAGAACATATGGATTACGACTCTGACACTATTGTAAGTCAGGTTTTGGATATGTATGAACAATTCATTGACCAGCAGGAAAATGAAAGTGTTTTTTTAACACAAAATACATTCGTCTGTGATGAAAAGGAGACCAATAATGCAGAAAACACAGGCGTATTGGATACCATTGACAAACCGACTGCTGATATGGACATTAGCTTTGGCTCAGGTAAATGTCGAAAGAAATTTATATAATGTGTAATATTGTCATCACTTTGCTTTCGCTTAATTATTTCACATATATTATGATAGCTGCTATTTCTATTTTTTTCTTTAAATTCCTGAAAACCCCCATCTGTGCAATCAACATGGGTGAAGAATAAATGTTTTGGTAAACTCATACAAGTTTCTACCCTTATTCAGAGAGAAGTTCTAGGTGAGGAATGAAATGCCTGGTTCATTAGCTGTTAAAACAGGTTTTTCCATAATCAACACAGTTGTATATTAAAAACTGTATTCACCTTCATATCATGAAATTCTCTGCTTTTTCATTCGGTCACAATTCATGAAATTCATTTTTTGCTCTATCGTTTCTTTTTTGTGTGGCGGCATGTCTTCTCATACATTATTTGGTTTTTATCAGTATTTTTTTCTCCTATATGACAAATGACTTATAATATTAACTAACTTCGCCTAGTTGAGTTTTTCGTTGATTTATATATAATAAAAATGACTACGTAAACTTGGAAATTAATAACTTTTTACTCATCTTTTTGTAATATAATTGTTAGTTACCTCAATTAAGGTATATATGAAAATACTTGTTTTTTATTGAATGTAATATAAACAATTACATTTTAGGCAAAAATGGACTTGCATCCTACCCTCATATTGTTTTTGTGTCAAATTTTACCATGGGAGGCAACTCTTGTGCAAAAATTACGTTCAACATGTTCGTTTGTTTTCTAAAAGTCTTTTAAATCACTTATTAGGTTGCAATTATTCTATAATGCGTTATCAGTATCGAAATGTCTTACAATACACTGCATACTCGTAACTTTTCTGTGAAAACAAAAGTCTGTCCAAAGGGGTACTGTCGGATAGAAAAATTAGGATTTCTTTAATTAGTTACATGTTGGATTCTTCACAGCTATGGTTGACAGGAAGTGAATAGAGTATTATTTGATGGTTTTGAGTATAAACAGATAATATATTTTTCAGTTGTAATTTCAAATATCTTTAGTATTAGATAAATATTTTTGTATATATTACACTGCCCTAGTTCTTTCAGTATATTGTGAATTATTGTTTCAGTTACAGGCTCAAGATACGCTGAGCCGTTAACAGAGGAAAATGTAATGCCACTGATCCAATCCAGCAAATCGTCCAATACGGAAGCCAAAGTACGCTGGGCTGTCAATTTATTCCAGGATTGGCAAAAAGAAAGGAGAACAACAGGGTATATTGAGGAGCTCCAGAAGGACATATTAGACATTACGGATTCAGAATTGAACACAGCACTTACATTCTTTGTGGCTGAAGTAAGAAAAGTAAACGGAGAAGAGTATAGAGGAAATACGTTGTACAAGATCATTGTAGGCATTCAGGCATTTCTGCGCGAAAACAGACGCTTGGTACGTTTACTAAGTGATGATGCTTTCAAACACATGAGAGATGTACTGGACGCTACAATTAAAAATTTACCTAAGAGAGAGGTAGGAATGGCGACAAAAAAGCTGGCGTCATTTCCAATGACAAGGAGGAGACACTCTGGCGAGAGCAAATGTTAGGATCTGATGAATCAACAAAGCTTGTACACACTGGTGTATTTGATTGGCTTAAACTTTGCCTTACGTCCTGGTCAGGAGCACAGGAACTTGAGATTTGGTCCATCATCTCAATTTCAATTAGGTAAGAAAAATATATACAACGAAGTAATGTTTTCTTAATATGAAAAATGTTTTGTAAGCATGTCCAATGTACTTAGCATACCAAGTAGAAATTACTTTTGAGTTCACATTATTTATATCATTTATGGTAGCGAACATGAATTAAAAACAAAATTTTATTACTTTACCATGAAGTAGTGCTACGTAGCCATAATTCATAAATGTTTTACCTAATTTGAATGTAGCGGGTGGGAAGTTGTCGAAAATAAGACAAAGCCGCTGGGTTCGGTTCTATCGCATTTTAATGCTTATAAATAGAAACATTCTGAAATGCACAATAAAAATATGTATAAGCTCTTCATGCATATATGTCACATTCGAGTAAAATACAATCTACAAATCTCAACAATTCAATGACCAGTACTAATATAATAAAATTACAACACTTTCTGGTACTTATTTATTACATTTTCCAACAAGGAATTATTCATTGATATAAGAATAACATCTAGGACTTCAGCAAAATAGTTATTTTACTTTATACATTATCATAAACGTTTACGATACTTCGAATCTTGAAATTCCAATTACATGAATTCAATATTACCTTTATACACTATCAATACATTATAGATGCAATATAAATACACTTTAAATACAGTATAAATACACTTGTTCTCCTTTCAAATCAATTTCAAAAAGTGACCGAAAGCTTAAACAAACCTACACGAGTACTAACGACACAAACTTTCGACCAACCAAATAACTTCGTCAAAGTCCGTCAAGTCCGTCACGTGTCTTACCTGTCACTGACCACAACTCGCATTTCAAACGCCACAATACATGTACATATATACGTACACACAAAGCGCCGCGCCCGCACGAATATATACCGCTCGGAGCGTAAAGATAAGACGTTACGTCTTGCGTCGTGAATTATTATACACGGACATAATTACAAATATTTCATTCATGAATAAATGTGTATGAATACATATGCTATATAGTATGAATACAACATATTACAAACAATACATTCAAACATATATTATATTATATGAATTCTTTTAATTGAGCAAATTATGCCTAAATAAATCGACCCTGTTACATGAACATGGGAGATAACTCTTGTATTTGATAGTTTACTTTACGTACATTTTGTATTGTGTGAAATGTTAGAAAAAAATCCTTTTCAAATTAAACTGAAGTGCAAATGTATGTGCTACGAATTAGGGATAATAAAGAATAATTAATTCAAATATTACAAATTTTTAAGCAATAAGTTATGTCTTTCATTTAGAAATTTAAATACTAAAACCAAATTATTCGTATATTTCCAGGTTGTGACCACAAGGGAGTCGAATATCTGTCATATACAGAAGATTATTTGAAAATCAATACAGGGGGTCTCAATCATAGGAAGCTGCACCACAAATCTGTTAAAGTCCACCAGAATGAAAACCGGGAAAGATGTTTAGTGAATTTGTATAAAATCTACATTAGCCACAGGTATAGCATATTTATATTCGATAACCCCCATTGAAATAAAATAGAAGTTGTAATGGTAAGCGTAACAAATTTGTGTGTGTTGACAATTTCATTATATATAAATAATGACTACATTTTTCTGTCCACGAAGGCAACGTAGGCAATCTGTGTGAGGCAGCCATGTATCATGCTGAACACAGGGACTTGAGTGTTTGTGACAGCTATATTTGGGATCTAAACTCAGGTTTTCTGACTACTTTTACACGTTTTAGGGGCTACGATTTACTGCAATTTTAACCGAAATATTATCTGAACTCCTTAAACGTTACACTGTATAAAATTACTCTGAACACTTTAGTTTAGATCCAAATATACAAACACTGTATAAATGTACAAATGCATTAGAAAATGGATAATAAACCGAATTATTTCCAAGAAATTGTTATGTCTTTATAAAAGGTTTTATTTTCAAATTGCTTTGAATAACTAGGCGTTTCGATCATTATTCATTATAATGCAAATCTCTAGTACTTATTTCAACATAATCGTTTAATTAAACACAATAAATGATACATTTAAAAGTAGAATACGTTGGTATTTTTTAAACAGAACATGTGTAAAGCATTTTATTTTAAGGAGACGTTTGTAATATTTCAGTGTTTTATTTCCCAGGCCACAACAGAATAAATGCGATGTATTTTACCTCCGTCCCCTAAAGGATCCTAAAGGGATGGTTTGGTATGGCGACAGGCCCCATTGGTAAAAACAAACTACGATCAGTTGTTGGAAAGTTATGCAGCACCACTGGAATTCCTGGATTTTATTCCAACCATTCACTCAGGGCCACGGCAGCCACACGACTATATCAGTCGGGTGTAGACGAGCAACTGATTGCGGAACGCACAGGGCACAGGTCCAATGCAGTGCGCTCTTACAAAAGGTCAAGCGATGACCAAATTAAAGAAGTTAACGGCATCTTAAGCGGAAAGAAGATCAAAACTGATAGAATGACAACCGCTGAGACTGAGTCTGAAGCAGCATCCAGTCAAGTTAGCTCCGGTGATACCACTATTGCTATCGAAAAAACCGGAATGAGAGTCAAAATTACATTTTAAACCATAAGTATTAAACTTATTGAAATATAACCAAATTACTCCTTTTCTATCGTCTGGTGTTCGTTTTAATTATTGTTTAAGTTTTCATGCTGTGGTGAAGTGTGGAGTCTGTTACGTCATCCATCTATTCAGGCCTTGGTATTAGTAATGCCCACTTACATTCGGTGACCTGAAAGGTCCATTGTGTTAATAATGCCCAGTTTTGGGCATCACACAAAAGGCTTTTGTGTTAAGAAAGCCCAGTTCTTTGTAAACATAATACACATTTCAGCCACAGCATGAAAATACAGGGACATTATGAGAGATAATGTACGTTACAAACAATAGAGCAATGGTTTAAGTAAACTTAAATGTCAAATAACATGCAGGACAAAGTTCATTAAATGAGAAATTCAGTATATGAAATGATAAAATCTTTTTCATTCAGAATATGCAGAAAGAATGGCAAATATAACTACCTGGTAATGAAATTTAATGACAAAAAAAAGAGAAATAAAAAAGACTGTTTCGATAAAGTACACACAGAAAGTATGAGGGGTTAAACACCTGTAGGAGTGAGTTTATTTAACAGGTAAGACAGGTGGTGAGGAGATTTCAGGGAAAGCTTCCTGTCTACGTCATGGCTGATAAATTTCCATCCATTATCATGGATTGCTGTTGACAGAAGCTTATTGCCACACAATATACACCAGTGCATGATAAGATGGAGTCATACTTGAGTTGTCAGCAGGGGCCAGTCCTGTCTTCCTGTTGTATTAGTTACGGTAAATACCCCCAAAATGCGGACACTCAGATTAGTGTAACAGAGAACTGAGAAATCTGTCCAATGCATTATTTTCTGTTTTGTTTATAATTTAACGACTCATTGACACAACAAGGTCATATAGACTTGTTTAACTGTTAATGATTTGGTCAGTAACTAATGATTTGGTCAGTAACTAATGATTTGGTCATGATCAGTAACTAATGATTTGGTCAGTAACTAAGTGATTTGGTCAGTAACTAATGAGTTGGTGTGTAACTAATGAGTAGGTGAGTAACTATTGATTTGTCAGTAACTAATGATTTGGTCAGTAACTAAGTGATTTGGTCAGTAACTAATGATTTGGTCAGTAACTAATGAGTTGGTCAGTAACTAAGTGATTTGGTCAGTAACTAATGAGTTGGTCAGTAACTAATGAGTTGGTCAGTAACTAATGATTTGGTCATGATCAGTAACTAATGATTTGGTCAGTAACTAAGTGATTTGGTCAGTAACTAATGAGTTGGTGTGTAACTAATGAGTAGGTGAGTAACTATTGATTTGTCAGTAACTAATGATTTGGTCAGTAACTAAGTGATTTGGTCAGTAACTAATGAGTTGGTCAGTAACTAATGATTTGGTCAGTAACTAATGATTTGGTCAGGAACTAATGAGTTGGTCAGTAACTAATGAGTTGGTCAGTACCTAATGATTTGGTCAGTAACTAATGAGTTGGTGAGTAACTAATGATTTGGTCAGTAACTAATGAGTTGGTGAGTACTAATGATTTGGTGAGTAACTAAGTGATTTGGTGAGTAACTAATGAGTTGGTCAGTAACTAATGAGTTGGTCAGTAACTAAGTGACTTGGTCAGTAACTAATGATTTGGTCAGGAACTAATGATTTGGTCAGTAACTAATGTGTTGGTGAGTAACTAATGATTTGGTCAGTAACTAAGTGATTTCGTCAGTAACTAATGAGTTGGTGTGTAACTAATGAGTAGGTGAGTAACTATTGATTTGTCAGTAACTAATGATTTGGTCAGTAAATAAGTGATTTGGTCAGTAACTAATGATTTGGTCAGGAACTAATGATTTGGTCAGTAACTAATGAGTTGGTGAGTACTAATGATTTGGTGAGTAACTAAGTGATTTGGTGAGTAACTAATGAGTTGGTCAGTAACTAATGATTTGGTGAGTAATTAAGTGATTTGGTGAGTAACTAATGAGTTGGTCAGTAACTAATGATTTGGTGAGTAATTAAGTGATTTGGTGAGTAACTAATGAGTTGGTCAGTAACTAATGAGTTGGTAAGTAACTAATGAGTTGGTAAGTAACTAATGAGTTGGTCAGTAACTAATGAGTTGGTCAGTACCTAATGATTTGGTCAGTAACTAATGAGTTGGTGAGTACTAATGATTTGGTGAGTAACTAAGTGATTTGGTGAGGAACTAATGAGTTGGTCAGTAACTAATGATTTGGTGAGTAACTAAGTGATTTGGTGAGTAACTAATGATTTGGTCAGTAACTGATGAGTTGGTCAGTAACTAATGATTT